CCACCCTTGTCCATTCAATTGCCCTCTCTCTCTCTCGTTTTCTTTTTTTCTTTTGCGTTAAAGGAACTGAAGCGTTTGTATGTGTGTCACGGAGGGTGTAACATGTGACCGGGCAGGCACCGTGGTTGTATGATCACATCATATATCAGCTTACAGAAGTAAGTTTAATTTGCATTAGCTGTTAGCCTACAGGCTAATCAGGCTAGATAGTTAATCACAAGGGAGTGTGTGTGTGTAAGAGAGAGAGGGAGAGAGAGGGAGAGAGAGGGGCAAGTAGAGAGACACTGAATGGCAGTTGTGTGAGTGTCCTTGCCTGGTGCAGGGGTTTAAAAAATCTGGCTGCATGGTGTTGATTTGCCCCAGACACACTCTCTCTTTCTCTTCTCCCTCTGTTTCTCTCTCTCTCTCTCTCTCTCTCTCTCTCTCTCTCTCTCTCTCTCTCTCTCTCTCTCTCTCTCTCTATGTTGAGTGCCTGCCAGGCTCAATTAAGGGGACTGGAAGGCAACGTTCCCCCACTTCAAAGCCATCTCCTCTGGCAGTATTTAGCCACACCATCCGTCTACACACACACAAACACACACACACACATATGCACGCACACTAAGACACAAGAGGATGGGAAAGCTAGCCAAAAAGCCTCCTTGGAGGGTTAGAGCGGGATGGGGAAGAGAAAACGGAGGCAGAGATAGATGTGGGGATGATGGGATGAGGTGGAATGAAGTGAGTGATGGATTAGTTGAAGATATAAAAGTGAGGACGGGAGACAGATATAGAGGTGTGGAGGACCGAGGAAGAGGGAAGGTGACACATCAGCAGCAGCACACACAAACCCAAATGTGAGCATGAATACACGTATTGTGGACGCCACCAGTGCACAGTACCACCAGTGGCTCCAGTGATTTCTTATAACTCTTATTAACAGTGTCTAAGATTATTTTTAAATTCAAGTCAATTTCATTTATAAAGCCCTACATTCACAAATTGTGTTTTAATTCTACAATATCTGATTTGTTTGACTGTTTAAGGGCAGCGAAAAGAGGCTATGAACAAAATACTGACACTTTTATTACCTTTTAGGTTGATATGGCACATTTGTTATCAAGTGTCAGGTACCTTTCTCCACTGTGTTCACTGTCTAGTCACAAACTGTGACTGTATGTCTAGCCTGCAGGTTGGCAGATAGTGTACAGTAGGTTTATCAGTCTTTTTTTCCATAAAGCATCCAAAACAAAGCTGATGAGACTGATTGATGAAGGTCAAAACAATAACCTGAATGATGCTTTAATGCTCCACAGAGCTGAGGGGAACGGCAGAGCTGGATGATAATTCCCTCTGGGTTCATGTAGTCATGTGATGCATCATTGATATAAAAATATTGATCAGAGTCACTTTAAAATCTATTAATCGGATGAGGAAAAACTACACAGAAAAGCCCTTTACCTGGAAAACACGAAGGTAGCAGAGAAGGGAGAAGAAACAGAATGACAAAAATTAAAGTAAAAACATGTATAAAGAATATGGATCAGAGAGGAATAGTGAGCAACTTCCAGGTGCTGCTTAATACAAATAGGAACCTGGACCGGAAAGAGGACACACTACAAATACACACAAGAATTATTATTGATTCATAATCCTGTTTTTGATTATTTAGTCTTCACATTTAAAATCATGTTGTGTACACAAGCCACAGAATTTCTGTCTTGCTCTCTCTCTGTTTATTCCTAAGAGAATATGTGTGTGGAAAATTGCGATTTAGGACAGTTTGATTTGCAACACACACAAACACACACACACACACACACATTCCACATCCCTAAAAGTGTGTGATTTCTCAGCACTGTAGAGTTGCAATGATTCATCCCTGGAGTATCAGTTTTTTCATTTCTTATCTCTTTGTGCTGTAGGGCCAATCCTGCCACTTCTGCTGTTAAATTAAAAATGGAAGTAGAGCTCTGGCTCTCATAAATTAAATGCTGGTTTGGGAGCCATGATGGCCGATGATTCACAGGGTAGCTATACTCCGGTGCTTATCTTTGATGGGCACACACATACTCACACACACACACATACTCACACACACACACACACACACACACACACACACACACACACACACCTCATCAGCTCTGACTGGAAGAATAAGACATAACAGCTCTGGGCTTCACCACTTCCACCAGTGAATAGCGAATGTTGAAGCCATCCTGGCCCAAAACCCTGCTTCATTTCCCGTTGTTGGTGTAGATACAAGGAAACTGGTTGCCATTAGGGAGCTGAGTAAATTACTGCATATCCTATGGCTCAGCTCCCACAGCTATTTAATTGTCAGCTTCTCTTTTAAGTGGGCTAAATTTATCTGGCCATTTACTCCTAGTAATTGGACAATTAAAGGGCTTTTGTCTGCTTCTGGCGACATACAGTAACCCTGTTGAAAAGTGAAGAAGAGAGCGAATACGAGCGAGGGAATGGTACAAAGAAAAATATGACACATGGAAGACACAGAGCAGCTGGTGTAGCTCTCTCCACACATCTGTCTCTTTGTCTTGAACAAAAGAGAATCAGCATCAACACATGCACTCAAAGCCTCTGTCTCCTTCTCTTTGTCTCTGTTGGTCTGTGTGTGTGTGTGTGTGTTTGCGTCTGTGTGTGTGTGTGTGTGTGTGTGTGTGTGTGTGTGTGTGTGTGTGTGTGTGTGTGTGTGTGTGTGTGTTTGCGTCTGTGTGTGTGTGTTTTGCGTCTGTGTGTGTGTGTGTGTGTGTGTGTGTGTGTGTGTGTGTGTGTGTGTGTGTCTTTATCTGCATGTCACCATGTGGCCATAGGACGTCAAACAGCAGCGCCACACTGTCCTCATGCGTGTCGATGGAGCCGTGTGCGTGTGCAGAGGAGTGTATGTTCACCGCTTTATCCCACGCCGACGTCACCTTCGGTAAGATGGAGGGCTACCTGAGGTCCAGACAGCTGTGTGATGTCATACTGGTGGCCGGAGACAGGCGGATACCTGCGCACAGGTAGGACACACTAAACATGCATTACAAAAATGTACATCATTAGGGCTGCAACTAATGGTTATTCTCATTATCAGGATTAATCTCTATGTTACTTTGTTACTACGCCACTAAAAAGATTGAATTGCATCTAGCAGTGTAAATACAGATTATAACATCCTCGCTTCACCTTCCTGTTTAAAAATAGGTGGGAGAAACTACAATGGCCCGCTCCCTCTGTAGAAACGGCTTATTTCTAAGGTAACAAAATCACAAAAAATCGTATGTTCAGGTGATTATACACTAATAAAAACATAACTGAATATCATATTCCATTTCTTCCAATAGATCCTCACAAATGTTACAAACTGGACCTTTAAATTACATCTTTTGTCAGTCCAAAACCCATAGATATTCAATGTACAGTAAGCATTAAGCATTAAATCCTTAAATCCTAACGTTTAAAAAGCTTCAATCATTCAATCTCTGCCATTTGTAGTTGCTAAATAACTAAATGCATTAATCAATTTATCAGAATTATAGTTAAATAAGAACTCATTTTAGTATTATATATGACAATGTCCTTCACCAATGTAAAAATATGGTTTAATACCAGTGCTGTGACAGAATAAACGATTAGATGACAACTAGGATCATCATGAACTGCTTTTTGCATTATTTTGTTTCAGTTTTTCACATTGTGAAAATGTTGTTTCTTTCGAGCAGATGCATAGCAGTTGTCTATATGCAAGATACTGACAAATGCGCACACACACACATACACACACACACACACACACACACACACACACACAGATGTGCAATGAAGCATAAATCCATCTAAAGGTGAAGGAATTAATCAGTGATGAAAATCATTTTGCACCTATTTTGATAGTCAAATAATTGTCACTCTTGATGGAAAAATGCCAAACATGCTTTTTATGCTGGTTTCTATCTACTTTCAACCTTTCTGTGTTTCATATTATTGCAAAATGTATATTTTTCTAAACAAAACCCCCATGCACTGCCAACAGCAGTCAGGTGCTGGTAGGTCCCAGGACCATATAGTAAGAAATCTGAATTAACCACCGCACACTGGAGTGACTTTACTGTGATTTATTTAAGAGCAAACAACGCGTTTCGCTTCCACCTTCACTCAGCCGCGAGGAAGCTGCAAGCAAAACGCGTTAAATAAATCACAGTAAAGTCACTCCAGTGTGCGGTGGTTAATTCAGATTTGTATGTATATTTTTGTGTTTTGGACAAATATGTCACCTTGGGATATGATAAATTATGATGGGCCTTGTACAGACAAAACAATTGACTAATCGAGATGAAATCCATAATGAAAAACATGTACATCAAGCTGTTTGCCACTGTGCACACATGCAGAAGCAGCATTATGATTAATTCTTGCATGCATTACACATACACACACAGTACACAGGACACTGTTTGGAAATAATCACACACAGCAGAACCACAGCCATGCTCATAAAAGTCCCTTTTTATTTTTGTAGTCTCTCCATGCCACAAATAGGCAACTGAGCCTCTGAATCATGCATCAGACAAACACACACACACACACACACACACACACACACACTCCTGTCACCCACCTCACAGCCTCCACTACTCTGCGCTTTGGCTGTTGCTCTCTGGGCATATGGCCACTGGTGCAGCAGCAGGGTCCATCTGCACAAGGATGAGACAGAAGTGGTCCTCCACCAGCAGAAAGACTCCTTTTCTCTCACTGCCATCCTCTTCTGGCTCATTTCATTTAGTCCTCCAGGCGCAGATGGTGACAAACAAAAGACCCTGCTGTAAAAGAATCCTAATGGTGTATGCGAAAGAGTGTGTTCTCATCTGAAGATGTGTTCTTGTGCCAGCAAGGGGGTAGGAGTAAGACATCGTTTGAAAGTGGTTGTTTTGTTTGCAATTGATTTATTTCATGTGTAGGATAAAAGTGCTTTTCTGGGAACAAAACATACTCCCTCTTTCTCTCCTTCTCTGTCTTACGTGTATACACAAACAAATCCGCTCCGCACATGCTGAATAGGCCACTTGTACCGTATATAGGAGCAAAATTCCTGTGGAGTTTGTTGCAAGCAGTGCAGTTTGAGCATACTCAAGCTGTATATGTACTTTAAAAAAGTAGAGCATAATTATACACGTTGTCTCTGGGGCTGTGCCTTACAGAAATAGATTATGTTGCAACTCTGTTTTTCTACCCCCATCTGGACACCAAAGTCAGCATCATCTGTACTAAATTTCATGGCAGTCCATCGATAGTTGTTGAGATATTTAGGCCAACTGACCAACAGGCAAACTGACATGTTTCCATCCCTAGTGCCACGCCATTAGTGAGGCTAAAACATATACTCCTCCTGTACCTTTTATTAGTGAGTATATGTAGAGAAAATTCGTAATAGTTGTGTAAGTCTCTTCTACCAGCTCTCCTGTTGTTTTCCCCTCTGTTTTCCCACTACTATATCTCTGCACCAAGCAGCACATCCACACAAACACAAACAGACACACAGTGTTCAGTTTCCAGCTCTTGCCCTCCTTTCCTGAGTCCAACTCGTCTGTTTCCTGCTCTCTTCACTCTGGCATTTTGTCTACTCTGTGCTCTTTCCATTATAGTGTGACACACTGCCTGCCATGTCTCTGTCTTCAGCAAGGTGCATTTTCTGTGTAAATAACCCAGTGCTGTATATAGCCTGTGTCGCTCAAGTCAGACAGAGATCCACATGAAAAATTAAGGAGTGTGTGTGTGTGTGTGTGTGTGTGTGTGTGTGTGTGTGTGTGTGTGTGTGTGTGTGTGTGTGTGTGTGTGTGTGTGTGTGTGTGTGTGTGTGTGTGTGTGTGTGTGTGTGTGTGTGTGTGTGTGTGTGTGTGTGTGACAAAGATGTCAAAATATACTATAGTCAGCAGGAAGTTGTTCTGCCAGTATTCTAGTTCAGTATCTCTTATCTCTCCCTCTTTTCCACACAGACACACACACAGTGTTGTTCTCTGCTTCAGGCTATCTGTTAAGGTCCCAGTCTCACACTCAGTAATAAGAGTATAGACATGTATTAAGTACACACACATCCAAGGATGTTGACCATGAAGTCAACAAACATGCAATCAGCAGAGAATTGTAAATACACACTTTTAACATTAAAATCTGCTCTTATAGCTGGCACACAGAGCTCTGGTGTGAGGACAGTAGAAACACTGAAACCCAACCAAAAGTCGCACACTATCCTTCGCCTCTCTTTTGGCTAGGCGAGCAATACTACTAAGATGGAGGGATGCTGCTCCGCCCACACACGCTCAGTGGCTTAGGGACATCATGTCCTGTCTAGACCTTGAAAAGATCCGCTACTCAGTTTGTAACTCAGGTGGGAAGTTTCAGAGGGTGTGGGGACCTTTTCTGATACTTTGAGAATCTTCAGTCAAATTGAAGGATTTTCCTTTCTTCTGTTTTGCTTCTTTGCTTGTCTCTCTGTCAGTTACATAGTCTGTATCAGTCAGTGTCTAAACTTGCCTTCTTCTTCTTATCTATCTTTATTTATTTATCTATTCATTCTGTTTTTTAAATTAATCAATTTTTAATTTTTATTATTTACTTGTCTTGCAATGTAATACTTGACTTCCAGCGGTTTCCTACAATACTCCAGGAACAATACTCCGTAGGAAATATGGTTTGTAGATGTGGCTAGTGGGAGGGGAGAGGGGTTTGTGTTTTTTTTTAAAATGTACATTGTATGAATCTGTATCTGTGATTAAAATTCAATAAAAATATCTGAGAGAAAAGAAAAAAAACACTGAAACCCTGCAATGATCTGGACGACTGTACTGTATATGTCACTGTCATTTTGCAGCCATTAGACGGTCACCACCTCATTTACAAAGACATCCCCAAGAGCAAAGAATGACAAATACTGCTCATCAAATGTTAAATAACAAGTACTTTCTGGTACTTTTTTAATATCTTGATGTTTGTGTGTGTTTAACTTCACGGTGACATGAAAGGCTAATGGATTGTTGCGGTGGGGGAATTAATTAACCGTCCTTACCATTGACCTTGAGATAATTCCTCTCTGTCCTCCATCTGGCTTGCTTTCCATTATTCCATATATCGTCTTTCTCAGACTCTAACCACTAAATTTAGATTGACTTTACATTAAGCGTAGCTCTCTCTCTCTCTCTCTCTCTCTCTCTCTCTCTCTCTCTCTCTCTCTCTCTCTCTCTCTCTCTCTCTCTCTCGCCCATGACCTCAGCTGCTGCTATGATTGACACATGCAAATTGAATAATGTCCTCTCTGACTGCACAGATTGGCGTGTCTTTCATACTGCATGTCACTACTTGATCTGGGCAGAGTTGTGTCTCCTTTCATATTATTTTACGTGGACACATCTGTGTTAAAATACCTTTTTTATTTAAATAACGAGCAATGTGTAACTAAAGAATTGAAAAATGTAGAAAATGGAAAGGTAAAAACACAGCATGAATTAAGGAAACAAATACTATAGGCAGTATAAGTGGCCTTTGAGCACTACAGCCTTATGTTATGTCTTAATTATGTCATTATTTTGCCTCTTGTTGTATCACTATGTTATGTCAGTGGCTTCAGATTGCGACTTTGTAAATGTGAGAAAAGCTCCAGGCCCTTATGGCATCTGTGTATACATTCTTCCATTCTTTAGTTTCACATAATTAGAGATCTTCTCATTTGGCGCTGGTAAAGGATAAACAACCCTAAACAAACACGTTCAGGTCATTCTCCCTTATGACAATTTATATTAGACATTACAAACTTGGTTCTATTCAGGGAAAACTTGCTCCACTGCAGTTTGACTATCACGCATTTAAATGTCTGTGGGCATCTGGAGATGCCTCGGGCCCATGCCAGGCTTTTGTTTGCACAGTTTTTCTCTAACAACATCTCTTCAGAGACGGGAATATACAGGATGAGTCCCATTTGGAAGGGATTTATTTCTTTAGGGGAAGTCAGGTGATTTAATATTTAATATTACATTCACTAATGAGAGATTTCAATCTTGTTTGTACTGCATATGTGTAGGTTTTTCCCCTCTAACACTGTAGTAATTACTGTCCATTTATTGTCTGTCTTTCAGCACACTTGTTGGTCCTCTTATAACTGTTTGGAGAGATAGGAGAGATTACAAGATGTGCATTTCTCTCTCTCTTTCTCTCTCTCTCTGTCTCTCTGTCTCTGCATGTTTCAACTTGTCCTTCGACAGCCTTTATGATAATTTGACAGCATTTAATTCAGACTTGTGCTGTGTTGAAAGTGTGAAAGTGATCAGGGATCAGACATGAGACCAACATGTTAAATTGCCATCAGATTATCAAAAAGGGTTCTGAAAAGGGCTTCAGTCTATCAAGCAATGATATAGAATCGATTAGATAAGAAAAAATAAAACATTTAAATCTTTGCTCAGTCTTTTTTAAATGAGTTGAAAATATTAGTGTGTTCCTAAGTAAGATGGTGTGCAGCTCTCACGTTTATGCTCTAAAAACCACAGACCTACGTGACATTTCTCTGATCTCTGGGTGCTGTAACATGTTTTTTGTGGTTACTTTAATTTTGACACCCGCAATACTTTCCAGCTCTTAAAGTGCGACTCCCACCTCATAACCCCGCTCTCCACCCCTGTTGGTAGTGCAGACTTTCCACTTTTGCAAACGATTGTTGTTTTCATGCAAATGTAGACTTTTATTAACTAGAAATGCACGGGTGGTTGTAATTTCCACTGCCATACCATGTACTTTTCCAGCAATTGCTTTTTGACCACTTTTGACACCTGTAGATTATTAGTAACTGCGACATGTTGTCCTACAACGTCAGAAGGCAAAAGTGGTTAAAGCGAACAGTCACAATGAAAGGACACAACCCCACTAGTTTTGACGTTGAAGAAGCGTGGGGGCAGGAGGTTTCAGACACCGTTCGAACATCCAACAAGCAAGATACTACTACTGATACTAACTTGACTTGCATGTGTGTGCATTTTGTTGTGGCGGTACTGATACACCACAAGTCTCAACTCAACTCAACTCAAAGAAAAGCAGCCTGAGAACCAGTTCCCAACTACATAATAACAATTAAAATAACCCACTCAGACTTTATTTTAACGATGAAAAAATACCTCTTCAATAACAAATAACTAAGGACTCTTCATTGACAAAAATAAAATAAAGAGGTAATAATAAAGGTAGATAAATGTGGAAGGGGTTTAATAAGAACAAAACCATAAATAAGTAAGCCTACAGCCTAAGCCAATATATTTACAGGATGATGATGTTATGTTTAGTCTGATTCTGTCCTTGTTTCCAAGCTGCCCTATCCCTCTCTGTTCTGCATCTTTTCCCTGTCAGTCCAGAGTTGTTCTGTCAGCAAGGTCGAAGCCTTCTGCACCTCACTTACAGCTGTCCATCCTCTCTGACTGATGCCTGACACTCTCTCCCCTCACAGACTGGTCCTCTCATCTGTGTCGGACTACTTTGCAGCCATGTTCACCAGTGATGTTCGGGAGGCCAAGCAGGACGAGGTGAAGATGGAAGGAGTGGACCCTGATGCACTGTGGGTCCTAGTGCAGTATGCATATACAGGTACACAGACACACTGATTGCCTTTATTAGAAAAATAGCATCAGGCTTCTCAACTTTCACACATTGATTGTTATTTAAATAGAACTTGAACATACTGTATTTCAGGAGGCACAACTGACCTACCACAGCACTGAAATGGATGCTATTTTATTATTTTTCAAGATGTTGGATTTTCTGTCTACATAGGAGGCGTAGCATGAGCTGCACGTTAGCAGAGCTGCAGCTTCTGTGCTCCATCTGCGTCTACACACGATGCATTCAGGCACAGTATTGAGTGCAGGTCACCCGCTGTTTGACGGGGCTCAGAGCTCAACACACAATCACTGTAGTTACATGTGTTAAACAGAAGGAAAAAGACTAGAAGTGGAAAAATATGAGTGCGAGTAAAAAGCCAGCCGTTACATTGCCTGTGTTGACAGCTGTACTGGTTACAATAAAAGCGTATCTTTCCATCAGACGTGCGTGATACAGGTGAGTAAAGAAACACTGCTGAAACACCTCCTATGTAGACGCCCTGTTAATGGATGAGGCTGGTGATATTCTTTATTTTTCATATTGTCAAAAAATCCAATGAAAAAAATTATTATTATATATTCAAGTATTGCCTGATAAAGCGTATTCCTCCGTGTCACAGAGCTCCAAAAACTATTAAAGATACATCAGTGAACCAAGTTGTTGCACTGGTAGACATTGCTACCATGAACATAGGCACTGTAGCACTGCAGTCGATCCCATACATACTTACCTGCTGCTGTAAATACTCGCTAGCACAGGTGTATTAATCCGTAACTGAAAATAGTCCCCATCAAACTATTTACTCATATTAACATTTGTTAAAAATTACAGTGCCTACCTGTTTTAGGAAATAACTTAGGAAGATTCTTAAAAATGTATATTTGTCATCCATTATTGAAAATGATCATCAGTGCCATAGATGAAGTATCACAGTGTTCCCATCAACCTGACAGCAACTTTGTTCAGATTCATCTGAGGACCATGTGCAGTAGCTGAGTGTACATGCAGCCTCATCTCCGCAGCCTCAGCTAAACTGATGGTTTGGTTAATGCACTGTATGCAAATTTTAGAATAGGCTTTAATTTTATAGTAGTAATAGTAGACAAACGGACGACTCTATGTTTACACCACTGCATCAAATATTTTTGGATTGCCAAAATAATCCCGTCAGTAGGTGAAAAAACATTTTCCAGGTAGCCACCTTCAGCAAATCATGTTTCCTATGCTAACTAAATGGATTTATTTTGGTGTCAGTCCTATAAAAAATAAAGGAATTTCCTGACCACTTGCTTGAGTTGATAGCACTGTTACTCTTGATCTTGAAACCTTTTAAATAATAGATGTCAAACACTTAAAAAATATGCAGTCCTCTTGTGAAATCTTGTCTTTCTTTCTTGCCATCAAGACCTTCTTCATCTCTTCTCTTTTTCCTCTCAGGCCGTCTGGAGTTGAGGGAGGACACCATCGAGTCTCTGCTGTCAGCCTCCTGCCTGCTACAGTTGTCATCTGTGGTTCAGGCCTGCTGTGCATTTCTCATGAAGCAGCTCCACCCCTCCAACTGTCTGGGTATCCGTTCCTACGCTGACGCTCAGGGCTGCCATGACCTGCAGAGGGCCGCTCACGCCTACACCATGGTGGGTACGCCTCCAGCGACTGAGCAAGAAAATTAATGAAACACTTGCTTGGGAAAATATGGATTTGAAAATGAAGATGTAGATGCAGGTAGACCACAGGTGATTTAGGTTTTAACAATGAATAAACATGCTTCTTTCACAACTATCCCTCTCTACCTCTTTGCAGTTTCTCCCTGTCAGACTTTGGTCATTTTCCAGCTTTGATGTTATTCTTGGTAACAAATTGGTTCCTCGTTCTCAACGCACTACACACCATTATCGCCACAATGGCTGTTTTCAGCACATAGTTGCTATGGTTACTGTGAAATAGCTCCTCCATCGACTTGATTATTCTTTTTCTTTTCTTGTTCTTTCTTGTCTTTACTTGCCTTTTTTCCCACCCTGCCTCCCTCTGTGTCTCTGTCAGTGTCAATGTTCCTCTCTTTCTTCCTTTCTCTCTCTGTTTCTCTCAAAGTGGATTATTGTTAAACTTTAATCGGAGGTAATTATGTTGTAGAGCTGGCTTTATCTGGGTGTGACTGTCTGTCTGTGTCTGTAATTCACATTCATAGCTCACTATTACAGCAGCCAATATGTAAGAGCTACACAATATAATCAGTAGAGAAAAGTCAAGATTGTTTTCTATTCGTTTTTTTATTTTAATTGTTGTATATATGTTGGAATGAGATCATATTTACATGTTACATATTTTTATTCCCCTTTTCTATTTTCCACATTAAACACTTCTCTCAAAATCGATGAATAGACACTTTAAAAAACAAACATGTCCATAATAGCTATAGCAAACTATACAGTCACATTAAAACGACGACCATTATTTCTATTAGTCAAAAATGTACCTGCAACCTATTTGATAATCACTTAATCATTTAAGACATTATCTGGTTCCTGTTTCTTAATTGCAAGGATTGTTTTTTTGAATAGATAGTTAACTATATCTCTTTGGGTTTTGGGCTGTTTGTCGGAAAGAGCAAGTCGACACCTTGCTGTTTAGGAATTTGTGATAGACATTTGTTACTATGTTGTGATATTTTATAGACCAAACGATTAATTGATTAATTCAGAAAATAATCATCAGATTATTAATAATGAAACTGATTGTTAGTTGCAGCCTTACCCTAGCAAGCAACCTCCCCATCTTTTTCCTCTAAATCATTCCAGCCTTTTCTCATCCAGATGTTTTTTTCTCGAGCTTTTCATCCATCTTCCTCTGACCTTTTACAAGCCTTCATTTCCTTCCTTTTCTTCTCTCTCCTTCCGACCCTTGATCTCTTTCCTCTCTCTACTCTTAAATCATCCTGTTGTTTTTTCCGCCTCTCATTCCTTTTTTCATCTGCAATTCATTATTCATTCGCCCTTACTCTTTTGAGACAAATCTGACTCTCTCCTCTATTCTTATAACCATTTCACTTCTCTGTCCACCAGGAGCACTTTTTAGAGGTGGTGGGAGGCCAGGAGTTCCTGTTGCTCCCAGTCGAGGAGATGGAGAGGCTGCTCACATCTGATGACGTCAACGTGCCAGACGAGGAAACCGTGGTAACCTCTCTGCTAACGTGGGTCAGTCATGATGTCGCCACTCGAGAACGTCACCTACCATCGCTGCTGGCTCACATTCGACTGCCACTGCTGCAACCGCAGGTGAGAGCTGTGTAGAACTTCATCTCACTGCCTTAAATCAGCTGTAATCTATATTTTTATATAAATGGTGAAAACATTGTGAAATGGGTCGCTCGTAAGGATGAACCTGCAAAGAATTATCACCTGGATCTGCAGCTCCCCACGGATTTACTGAGCTTTATAGCGATTTTGTTTAGCTGTCTGATCTGCTGATACTGTTTTGGTGCACTGTCACAGCATTAGTTGTTTTTTTTTTGCAGCAGGAAGCTGTTTTCGGGGAAAAACCTCAGCTGTACACTACCTGCTCAGTAGCAGACAACAGACAGACAGACACAGTTAGCGACTATAGCCAACATAGTGGAGCATTTAGCAGCTAAAGAGATTATTTCCCTCGGGAGTTGGTAGAGACCAAAAACAAAGTTAGAAGAGGCTCAATATTGGACTTCATCTGGTGGACAAAAACATGAATCCAATTAAATGATGCTGTTACTCTGTAACTGCTGGATGTAAATGAGAAACTGTTTGTCAACCAAGAAACTTAAAAGGTGATAAAATCTATTATTGCAGGTTTAATAAGCAGGGATGTACTCATCCAACTTTTTCTCTAATATTACATTATCCAATACTAGTTTTTCCAGCTGTATATCTATCTGAATTAATCTGTATATATACTGCAGCAAACTCATTCAGCCCTTCATGACAAAATGTAACTGATGGAGGAAACACTGAGTTTTAAAATGACATTGACAATAAATCTGTATTGATGTGGATTGTGTCATGAGCGATACCTGATTGTAGGTTAGTATTCGCACTGATACTGATTTGTTGTTATTAATGATAATGAGAGTAAATTAAGCGTGTACAACAGTTTTATGTCTGTCAGTGTCACTACATTATCAGCTTCCTCCCTCTTTGTCTCTCCATCTTCCTCTTCCCTGTTGTCTCTTTTCCCTCTCACACTCTTAAATCAATTAAATGAGCAACAATAAATCTGTATCTTGGCCAGAAGCAATCCACGAAAAGATTAATTGCGTACACAAACAAGAGCACTTTAGTTGTCTACTGCGTTCATGAGGTTGTTGTCCATTTGTCTTGGTGTGTCGCATTAATTAAACACTTTTTCAAGCTAAAACTTTACCACATTAATAGTGTAGGAGCTTTCTCAAAGTTGAGAGTGCAGCACTTTTCCTCCTGATGATCTGCTGGTCTTTTTCCACTCTCTATCCTCTTTAGGCAATTAGAGGAACTATAGCCATTACGCTCACTGTAGATCTCAACCATTACTTTGTCAGGTGTGTGTATATGTGTGCATATGCGTGTATTTGAGCGAGTGTGTGTATCTGTGTTCATGTGTCTCTGCGCTCTATCTCCTCCTCCCTCCTCTTCCCAGCTTGTGTTGCAGAGTACTGTATCTTGACTGGTAATGTGATGCTGAGAAGTTTATATGCTGGGCAGAACCTCACTTACTGCCTAGGGCGTTGGATACACACACACACACACACACACACACACACACACACACACACACACACACACACAGTTTTAAACCTTAATTAAGTGTGATATCTCTCTTAACTGCAGCTAAATTATCTGTTCTCTTCATCTCCCTCATCAGTCATTTTCCTCACTATATATAAAGAAACTGTAGAGATAAAACTCCCCTTGTGGCCCTCCCCTCCTCTTTCCATCTTCTCTGCCTGCGCCTATACATCTCCCAGGTTTGCAATTGTGCGATACAGTACGAACACCTCAGATATATGGCTTTGCCCTGGTCAGCTGAAATCACAAGTAGCTGTAACATGTAATCAGGGGAGAAGATGGATGGCAGAGCAGTGAAGCAGTGGAATAGCACCAGAGCAGAGAGAGCAACAGCAAGACAGACATAGAGCTGAGGGTTGATTCAAGCTCTAACAGTGTATCACTATTATCACTATTGCCACTACCATGCTAAACTGACTGACATTCAACAACCTCATGTGTTGTGAAATGGCAATAAAATGACGTATAAACCTCACACAGACAACGATCAATATTCATCAACCAATTAGTCAGCTCTCTATCTGGCCCGCTGTGCGATTACTCATCAAGAGGATGTCAATGAACCAGATTAATACCGTTTAATCCCTTCTCCCCATCACCACTATCACACATACAAAAACGTACACACACACACAGACACACACACACACACACACAATTGGTCTAATCTGCTCAGACGAGCATCTGTGGGTTGTTAATCAGTGGATTTATGGAGTGTGTCAAAATTATAAATGTGAACCTCATGATGGCGCTACAGGAAAAGTCAGCATGCTTCATCCTCAGGGGACATGGACATCCATCTAAAATGACAAAATTAAATGATTGTCAAAATATTTGCATTTATTTTCTGTCAAACAAATACTTGATTAATTGACTAATTGTGTCACCTCTAGTGTGTGTGTGTGTGTGTGTGTGTGTGTGTGTGTGTGTGTGTGTGTGTGTGTGTGTGTGTGTGTGTGTGTGTGTGTGTGTGTGTGTGTGTGTGTGTGTGTGTGTGTGTGTGTGTGTGTGTGTGTGTGTGTCAGGGTGTTCATGAAAGATGGAGACAGGCAGGTGCTAGTAAGAGCATGTCTTGCAGGGGAAATGAAAGACTAGAAAAGCATGAAAAATATACATGGCTGGGAGATGTGTGTCCATGATGTCTTTTATGTCCAAGTGTGAGCTGAAACCGAGAGGGGAGCACTACTTTCTCACTGCCCACTGTGAGGTAAAGAGAGGACAGAGAGGAGAAGGTGGGATGCCTGCAGCATTTAGTCTCGCCCTCCACATTCAATCGTTCACGGTGCAATAGTTAAATAGCACAGGAGAGGACAATCACAGTTTTCTATCTCTGTCCTTCTTTATCACACACGCCCACAAATGAATGCCGAAATATGGTTCTCCCTAATTTGTCCCTGGATGATTGTATGCAATGGAAGCGTGGGTTCACCCCGGCGTGTAAGCTGCTTATCCATTTACCATGCTTGCTTTACGCTCTCCACGTCTGACTGGGGAAATTGATTTTATATTCAGTGACCAAATTCAATTATTTAGGCCGAATCTTTCTTTTCTTGGTGGTTTGAGGGAATTACGGTGGTGAGCATGGAGGAAAAAGGGTGTAAAAATATTTTTTGTAAAATCTTTTATCAAATATCCTCTATTATACTTGTTACTCTGTTACTGGATCTTGAGCAGCCATTTCTGAACGTCTCCTCACTGACTTAACTTCAACCAACGCACACATGCACACAGGTATACACACAGTCTGGAAACTTCCAATGACTTTCATAAAAAAATCAGTCTCCTCAGGAACCTCTACTGGTTTTCATCTGTTAACACACACACGTACGCAAACACACACAAACACACATCTATCTAAATGTAAATCATGTAATTCATGCCTTCTTGCCTTGAGGGAAAACTTGCCTCTCACCACCCTGCCTCTTTCACAGGCAGTGATTTCCTATGGATGTATTTTAAGGAACAGACTGGTGGATTGAAGGCTTCATGCTGCAGCCCTTGGCTCTCTCTCTCTCTCTCTCTCTCTCTCTCTCTCTCTCTCTCTCTCTCTCTCTCTCTCTCTCTCTCTCTCTCTCTCTCTCCTCCCTCTCCCTCTCCCTCTGTGTGTGTGTGTGTGTGTGTGTGTGTGTGTGTGTGGGAGGGATTGTAGATGAGGTTAGAAGGTCTGGACTGGAAAGCTGATGAGATGTTGAGGACAGATTAGTCCTCTAGTGTGTCAGATGATCTGTGTGTGTGTGTGTGTGTGTGTGTGTGTGTGTGTGTGTGTGTGTGTGTGTGTGTGTGTGTGTGTGTGTGTGTGTGTGTGTGTGTGTGTGTGTGTGTGTGTGTGTGTGTGTGTGTGTGTGTGTGTGTATAAGCACTAATGGCTGCTGGTCTGATCTAATCTCTCAATCAATGACAGAACAGCTTTCTTTCGACCCTCAGACCTCCACAATCAGTGAAAACATCGTAGCACACACCCTGCTTTTGTTTCAGCTGCTTGTTGATAGCACTTGTCACATGTCAACATGTGTGTTCATGTGTGTGTTTTTTTTTCTGTGTGTGTAGTTCTTGGCAGACCTGGAGTCCAACCCTCTCCTCCGGGACAGCATGGAGTGCCAGCGGCTGCTGATGGAGGGGATGAAGTATCACCTCTTGCCTCAGCGCCGGCCCCTGCTTCAGAGTCCCCGCACCCGACCCCGCAAGGCCACCGTTGGGGCCATGTTCGCCGTAGGGGGCATGGACGCTACGAAAGGTAGCAGTCACTTAACCATAACACACAACCAGACATTACATATTACATACATGTTAGAGCTGCAGTGATTAGCCAATTAATAAATTAGTAAATCTTCAAAATATTAATCACTAATTTGATAATTGAATACATTTTGCCAAAAATTCTCTGGTTCAAGTTTCTCAAAAGTGCTTTTCTTGTATATAAGAAAATTAGTGGGCATAGTAGTCCATAATGAAAATAATCATTAGTTGCAGCCCTAATGTTAGACCCTTAGGCAGCAGGATGTACAGTGTAATTAAAGATTGGAACATTCTCTGACATTATCTCTTAATTATGGCTATGAAATAATTATCTTATAATTATTAGGCTTTTTTCTTGTTATCATGAGAAACCACATCTTTAGTGGAGATCATCTTAAACAGACAAACAAATTGAAGTGATAAAGTCTTACACACATTGTGTCAAGAATTGAAAGCAAAACAACAAAAAGAAAGACGTTGTGTATGAATTAAAGATGAATGTACTGGAGCAGGATGTAGCCACAGGCACTAACTCCATATAGCTGGACAGTTCAAGCACCACAATTTGTATTTGACATTTACATTTTGTTTTGTCCAGGTGCTACTAGCATCGAGCAATACTGTCTGCGTCGGGACACGTGGAGGCAGGTAGCCACCATGAGTGGACGGAGACTGCAGTTCGGTGTAGCTGTCCTTGACGATCGTCTGTATGTGGTGGGTGGCCGAGATGGACTCAAGACACTGAACACTGTTGAGTGTTACAACCCGCACAGCAAGACCTGGAGCGTCATGCCCCCAATGTCCACACACAGGCACGGCTTAGGTGAGCCTTGTTTGAAAAGAAATGTGCTTGGAAGTGTTGATAATATTTTTGTTGTTTTATTATTTTTGAATGTGGTATTACACGAGTATCTTAAAGAGAAATGTTGCCATATTTTGATTGATTTGTTTAATTATTTTTTGGTTTAAATTTTCTTTTCATTCCTAACACAGTGAGGTCAAAGCTCAGTTTCAGCTACAAAACAGCCCCTCTGCAGTAAGTGATTCATATGCTCAAGAGCACTTCAACAGAGTGGACTGAACCTTTGTTATCTTGTTTGGAGGACAGTCTCTCCAGTCACTGTGCAAGCCTACTATTATAATGACAAAATGTGATAAGGCGTGCTGTGCTGGTGCTTCATTGTTTTTATAAATGTGTGCATGTGTGTGTGAACGGAGGTGGGGATTGAAACACACATCTGGCACCACAGATGTTCAGGCAGATAAATCCCTTGAGTATGGAGGTGTCAACATGCTGCTAACTCTGCACGCCTAATGCCCTTGGTGTGGTTGCACACACAATAAAAACTCACACCTTCGTCCTTAACGTGTGTGGTTTTATGAGCTTGTCCGAGCTCATAGTGTTTTGGTAAGTTGCCATGATTTAATCGTGCGTATGTGGTTGTGTTTTGCAGGTGTAGCCGTCCTGGAGGGGCCCATGTACGCAGTAGGAGGACATGATGGCTGGAGCTACCTCAGCACAGTGGAAAGGTAAGACGATATTTCACACACTAAAGGGTCAGTTCACCTATATTACAAAAAATACATATTTTCTCACTTACCTCTTTGGTATCTTGCAGATAGGGTTTAGTTTTTATTAATAAAAGCTGTTAACAGCAGTTTCTGTGGATTATGAGTAACACCGGCACTGTTTTTGTGATGTTGCTGCTGAAAGATGCAGAGATGTGAAAATACAATCTTTTGACTGTGCTGTATAAATTTTTTATAAGTTCAGATTAGCCTCGTTTTATCATGTGCCGGACTAAGAAGTTGTTTACCTAATTTTTATTAGGTGGGACCCCCAAGCTCGCCAGTGGAGCTTTGTTGCCAGTATGGCCACACCCAGAAGCACAGTGGGAGTAGCTGTACTCAATGGCAAGTAAGTGAGCTCACACATTGTTTCATAAGTCTACATGATATAGATATCCTACTATACAACTATGTCCAAACTATTGGTTGTTTATTTGGGACATCTTGTTCTTGTTCCTGTGGATCCTGTATGCATTTAGTGCAAGTCACTTCGGACAAAAGTGTTTAAAAAATCTATGTAATGTAATAAATTGTTGACATTTTTAACAGAAATTATACAAGAATTGTCTGACGAAAATCCAAAAAGTCACTATAGTACATAGCGTCTGTATGTCACATAAATACTGCTCTGGAAAATGTTTCTTTTCTGCACAAACACAATATATCAATATCAAATAGGAATGGACAAGCTGACAATACTCAGTGTCACACACACACACACACACACGCACACGCGCGCACACACACGCAGGCACTCATACACAAATGCACATGTTAATAGTGGGATTTGAAGTTCAGGTCTTGAATCTCCTCACTTGCCCCAGAATTCTCCAGAATCGCAATATCTCACCGTTGTTTTTATTATTCAGTGCCTCAGAGAGACGCTACAGAGAAACGCTTTATAGATGCTAATTAATACAGAAACAACTGATTTGGTTAAGCATGCCCAACAGTTGTGTGCGTGCGTGCGTGCGTGCGTGCGTGCGTGCGTGCGTGCGTGAGGCTGCGTGTGCATGTATGTGTTGTGTATTCTCTGGGCTCTTTTCCTGATGGATCTCATTACTTGCTTGACTGGTTTTGATCCACTTCTTCCTTCCTCCTACCAACTCCACACACACGGATATTTGTACACACACACACACACACAGACACACAGGAAGAGTGACTGCTTGGGGTTGTGATGCCCCCCAAGAGTGTTAGCTGATTGATTTTGCTCACCTCACTTTGTCCCCAGATCGTACACACACACACACACACACACACACAAACACCTTGTACCATCTGTTTCAGTGTCACTAAATTGAAACGGGACTTCCAAAGTCCAGGTATGTGTGCAGTGTTTTGTGTGTGTGTGTCCAGAGAGATAACACCATCTTCTGTCTTTCTCAGGTTGTATGCAGTAGGAGGTCGTGACGGCTCATCCTGCCTGCGCTCAGTGGAGTGTTTTGACCCCCACACCAACAGGTCAGAGACGAGGGACTTCATTTGACCAGAATTAATTGCCGTCTCCTGCTTTATTTCCTGTCTGCTGTTCTGTCTAGTGAAGGGAATCTGTGCTTTAAGGTTATTTACACACAGATCAAAGGAGACAGCTAACCCTCCCAGGACGTTAGAATAGACTTCATACAGCTAACAGCTTCTGTTTATTAAGCACATTCATTTTGGTCTTCACTGGAGGAGCTGAGACGAGGCTCTTATTGGTCCCTGGCAAATAATCTCCTGAACACATTTTGAGTCAGAACATTTGTAATATTTTCCTAAATGTTGGAGACAGTGTGAAAAGCTGCTTTTTTTCTCCCAATCTCAATATATAAAGGTGGAACGGTTGTGCTCCTATGGCTAAAAGGCGTGGAGGTGTGGGTGTGGCCACATGGCATGGCTTCCTGTACGCCATCGGAGGTCATGACGCTCCGGCCTCGTCCCTCGCATCTCGTCTAAGTGACTGTGTGGAGAGGTGAGTCTATATATACTCTGTGTGTTTTGTCATTTAATCAAGGAGATGTAACAGATGTTTCAATGTGTATTGCTGTTTGGAAGTGTAGTTGTAGATTTTTTGCTGTCTTTTTCATGTGATTTGTGTTGTATTCAATGTCTTTTAAGTGATGGCTGTTTTCAAAGTTGCTATATAAAATTAGATTATATTAAATTAAATTATATAAATTAGATTATAACATCTAGTTTTTTCCTCTGTAATTGTTGTTATTTCCCTGGAAGGCACCAAAGAACTTTTTAAATAGATTTCATTAGCTTAGCGTAGCATCAAGACTGGAAGTGCGTAAACAGCTTGCCTGGTTCTGTCTACAGTTCAAAAACACAACTACCAGCGCCTACAAATTACACTAATTAACATTGTGTCTGTGTTGTATCTCGTTTGTTTAACTGATACACATACAGTTTATCAATCTGTCCAGCACATTTGTGCCTCCAGCTGTAGCTCGAGTTGCCAGATGCAGTCAATGAGCAAGCTTTGTGCAGACACAATGATACCATACTGTGCCAAGAAGCAGTTACAGCATTATGGCAACTCCTACTAAAATCACAAATTCTCATTTTTACATCTAGATTAAACAAATGAGATAACACATGATATTTAGCGAGCTTTAGAAGTTCTGGCAGTGTATTTTTGGAGAGCTAGACTAGCCGTTTCCACCTGCTTCCAGTCTTTAAGCTAATTGCGGGCGGCTGTGGCTCAGAGGCAGAGCGGGTCGTTCCTTAATCGGAAGGTTGTGGGTTCGATCCTCACATGTCGAAGTATCCTTGAGCAAGATACTGAACCCCGAATTGCTCCTGATGCCGTGCATCGGTGTATGTTCGAAACTACATTCACTCATCACTGAGTGAATGTGTGTGAAAGGGTGAATGTGGCATGTAGTGTAAAAGCGCTTTGAGTGGTCGGAAGACTAGAAAGGCGCTATACAAGTACAGGTCCATTTGCCTCCAGGCTCCTGCTCTACACTGAAGGCACAGCCATGTGACTGATATAGTTTCAGAGAGTAAGAATTACATAAACTTAATTTGATATAATATAATTCCTCCTTTGTGTGTGTGTGTGTGTGTGTGTAGGTATGACCCTCAGACAGATGTGTGGACGACAGTCGCCCCCATGAGCATCAGCAGAGATGCCGTTGGTGTTTGTCTCCTTGGCGACCGTCTCTATGCTGTGGGCGGTTATGACGGGCAGGTGTATCTCAATACTGTAGAAGCTTATGACCCTCAGACAAACGAGTGGACACAGGTACACACACACACACACACACACACAAAAGGAAAGAGTCTGTACAATTTAATAAGCTCTATACCATTAATAGCACACACATACAACAGATTTATATGTATGCACTTATGTACATACACTCTGTAAAAACAAGTAATAAATCATGATCTACACCAATAAAGTTGTTAAATAGACACACAGTCTGACCTTCTTCCAGCTCCTCTCCCATGTATCTTGGCATGTTTTCATTGTTATGTAAATGTGTGTTTTCCTCATGCTAATATTGCCCTTGCAGCTGTAGCAGTAGGGGAAAGAGGAGACTGTTTCAAAGTTGAACGATCTCATTCAACAGAAGTATATCATACTTCAGTTTATACCTCATCTCCTGCATAGCCCCAGAGGATTTCCAACCAAAGTCACTGGAAATCTGCTATTTTGGAGACACGCACCATGCTGAGAACAAGAGGGGGTGTAGGTGGGCGGATACAGAGAAAGCTCAAACTGACACAGAGGGATGACGACTAACTGAGATGTGAGGGGACATGTTGAAACCATTAAATGTGTCCTCTATAT